AGACGCCGCTTTTTTAGGGATTGGCTATAGGTTGTCGACGGTTACCGGGGTTGTCGAGTTTGCTGAGGGCGGGGTCTCTTAGAAAGCACGTAGCACACAGAGACTACTAGAGGTCCTACAACGACCGGCAAATCTGGCAGCAGTTCCCGGCAACCTATAGCCGATCCCTTAGCTAACGTCGCGTGGCACGTAATTCAGGAAAGACCTTACCAAAATGTAGATTTCAAGCAATATTTTCGAGTTTCTTAGAAAACCTAGGGGTTCCTGGTACAGGAAAGCCCTCGCCGCATGAGCACTGAAATTCGCATTTTTATCTCAGGTTGGCTAACCACGTAGACACTATGTTTGCAAAGTTGAATGATGACATGAAACGTGTAGCTACAATTTATGGTGATGGCAGCTTTTTTGCTCGAAATTTCGATACTTACGATGCAGAAGTGGAAGAGTTGGGAGTAAGTTTTCTTTTTGAAAGTTGGCGTTTCATAAGTCAATAATTGTCTACTTTTCAAATTTTTGGGCTTCAGTTGTGAAATGCATCAACACATGTGTCTCTTTAGAAGCTGAATGAAGCAGAGGCTAGAGCACAACTTCAACGGTACGCCCTGCGTTGCCACGTGAATGAAAAGGAAAAAGAACAGCTGCATAGAAGAAATCGAGAGTTGAATGTTAGTCAGTTTTTCATCTGTTTGAGCTTTGCAATCCCTTCAACAGCTTCCTGATCATTTTTGTCATAATTATTCGTTGCACATCCACCCAAATTTCTTCATACACAAAGCTTAAATGCTTTATGTGAAATGTTTGCTTTTCTACAGGGAAGAAAATCGTAAAAGTTAGTATAGGGCTGATAAAATCTATTGGAGTTTGGAAAATGACTTTACGATGAAAAGAGCAAATCAGGTGACGAATAAAATTGCACAACAAGTTTTACCTTTGATTAATCAATTAATTTGTAGAAATTTTCGCAAATTCGATCTGGTAAAAAATTTTGCGGATGCTTTTGACTATCCCCTTCATTAAGAGATTTTTTCCAATTCCGCTACTTCCTCCAATAAATTCCTCAAATGAAATCTCTCGTACCGCCTTTGGTGATTCTATATCGTAATTAATCTCTTTATAAACATCAATGTACTATTTCCGTCCATCCGACATTCACTCCATGACAACAATTTGAAACCGTCCATTTCATGCCATGAAGTCTCTATCAGGACACCTGACATTTGCAGTTCCATTTACTACGTAATGTCTTTGATGGACAGCTCAGAGCAGTTATTATATAATTTGACTGATTTGGATGAAACTTCTATGGCCTATAAGACGGTGATTGGAGTTGTCTGAATTTTCTAATTCAGGATGCCCTCGAAATTTTGCGAGTCCACATTTTACGTACGCAAACCAATGTGCTTGATCAGGTTCGTCTTAGCGTTCAATGATTAATCGATTTTAGCTAGCTTCGAGGTACTTTTTCCTCTCAAACTCTTTGTTTCTCTTTGATTTCAGGCTCGCAGAGTTGCAAAACAAGCTACAGATGGTTTGAATGAGTTGCTACAATCTTCATCGAAAGAAATCACAAAGCTAAATCAGGTAAATACTTTGTTTGTGTTTTTGCTTGTGATTCTCATTCTTCTGTGATTTTGTGCATTTCAGAAGAATGCTCTATCGCTAGCACAAAGCAGCTCTTTACAAAACCAGCTCAAGCAGACAACTGCTCAGCTGGAAGCGAAAAAAGAGGTATTTTTTTCGCATGTGGATGTTTTTTTGCTTGTGCTCGGAGTGAAATTTAGGCTCTAAAAGAAGCAAATAAAAACCTAGACATGCTTCGATTTGAAAGAGATTCACTGCAGAACCA